CTGTTCAGTTCTCAGCCCTTATCGAATACGATACGAGGTACGATATATTTTACTATCCATGAGCAAAACATATACCTCATCATCAAAAACTCATGGAACTTTATAAAATGTCCACTTCGATAAAAATCCTTCATCAATTATCAGTAACAAAACACCAATTTTCGTAATTCACGATTACAATGTAAGAAAAATTCACCATCCATTTTCCATCGGAGTTCCTCCAATTATCTCCTATAAAATATCCGATATCAAATGGCAAATTCAAATTCGAACCTCATTTGCTTTCCTCATTTCCGTTCACCCGCGGCAAAGTTCCAATCTGAGATAATTAATGTTCGCAGAATATTTTTAACGGCTAATTCCAGTAACTTCCAGGTTTCTGCGAATACCGGCATGATACATGTCATACTTTGCTTGAGGAAATCCATAGTAGTTCGATTATGATAATAGACGAAGTAAATAGAGCAAACACAACTCCATAAGTAGGATTGAACAATTGGAAATGTACGTTTTCGAATGACGAAATTGCGAAATAAATCTGTCATAACTGATTTGTGTGATAACATATTCTTGATATTGGTGCAAATTTGATTTCGTTACCTCAACTTCACCGAAGAACATTGATTAATCATCAAACTGCCCTAAATTCTGCAATTTTTTTTTCTAAAACCTCAATAATTATGACTCAGCTATATATTAAAGAAAGTATAGTTTTCTGTTTTGATTTCATAAACAATTTCATCTATGACTTTGATCATTTTCTACATTAACAAGTCTAAAATCTCATGAATCGAGAAAATCATAAAATAATTGAGTTTTCGAGTTCATGGTAAGCGTCCAGTATGTCAAAAAAATATTTATTGCGCTGCCGAAACAGCTGTTCGACGTTGGTTTGCAAAATTCCGGTCCAGAGAAGATGAGCCACGAAATGGTCGACCTACAGTAATCCAGGGCGAGGATTTGGGACCCTGGTGGAGACTTACCCCTCACAAACGATGCGTGGGATAACTAGGCGTCAGCTCCCATGTGGTTTCTGATGGTTTACAACGACTCATTGGAAAAAACCAAGAATCCAATTCATTGGTTTGCTGACGACAGCACACTCGTTTCGTCATTCCATTTAGATTCCAGGACATTGACGGCAGATACACATCTTCACCGGCAGCATGAGGTTGCATGTGTTAATGAGGATCTAGACGTTACTTCGAATTGGGATGGAAATAACCAGGTTCAATTTGATGCCGCAGAAATCCTGGCATTTCAGCCAGGAAGCAGAAGCAGAAAATTCCACTTTCTGCTTCGATAAGTTTGTTGGAGGTTGAAATGGACACCGATATGTCTATTGATCCTTCATGAGAAACTGGCACACTTACCAATTACTCAATCAATAGTTAACATGCATCATACTCAGCTGGTTTAATTACTCTCTACTTAGTTATTGCTCATTATATCTGTAACCAAACTGATCTGAAATTGGGCAAAGTTCCCTTATATGTCTATGTCGACATGCATAAAATAATGTTCTTTGGTATTCATCTGGTATCCATCAAGCTGAACATGATTACTTCTTCATAGCTAGTCATATAATTACACCTTCATACATTTGGCAAGGATTTTCGCCTGGAAAACTGTGAAATCGTGAGAAAATTCCATCAATGGAAACAAAACCGTAGCCAATTGAATAACTCAAAGGATATGGTAGCAAATTCAGGTACAGCAGCCAGAACCATATCATTTTTCATGCTCTAGAAGTGAGAAATGAATAATATCATTCGTAAGAAAGTTTATGAAAAGCAAATCAATACTGGTGGCTTCATCTCCTCATAGGAGTCATCAAAAAAAGTGAAAACTAACCAGAAAATGAAATGGAGGTTATGGAAGTCCAACACAAGTACTAATCATTCATCATTGATAGATGTTTAGATCATAATTTCAGCACATACATAAATCCTATTATAATACTCGAAGCAGTCATAATATACAAGACCCAAATTACGTTTGTCCATCATATCATGAATCAGCTTTCATAGCCTATAGTCGATACGCTAATGTCAAAATGAATACGTTTGCGACGTATGAAACTGACATCGTTATCACGCATTCGCTTCATATCTATTCCATTCTCAGCGGGGTACAAATTGGTTTGCTTTCCTTATTATGTTTCAACGTGGATTTTGAATAATTCAACATTCTGGAAAGAATAGCCTAATTGTTGCAGAATTTATTCGGCGATTTTTATTCTCGTTGTTTCTGAAGTGAATGAATTGGTGCGATATTTCAAAGGTTCATGGGTGGCGTAGGATGACTTTTTTGGTCATTTCTCTGAAGAACAGTGGATACAATCAATTCTAGTCGAGAGTAAATATTGATTGAAAAGACACGAGTTGGGTGAAATTAGTGGCTTCATCTGCAGTACAGGTTTTCTGGATGTTTTGTATGTATGTATCCTGTATTGAACGGAACTTTTATAGTAGTCAGTTTTGTTGGTATGTTGAACAACGACACATTTATCCAAACTAGTTTAGAAACTGTTAGGAATCACACGTTGAAAGGTAAGACCTCGTTAATCCTCAGCTCGCACAAGTTTCTACTTCTGAGGGTTATCGTTCGTAGGGGTGCGACAGCTGGTTAACGGAAAAACAGATTTTAAATACACGATACATGGAAACCACTGATCTAGAGGAAAATTGACTTGCATTAGAACTTACCGAGAATCTAGAGAGACATTGTGAAGTACATGTTGTTTCTAGCCTCATTTGTAGTCTTTTATTTTTATACAATGTGACCCATTTTTAATGGAAACACCCCCCTAAAATTTGAAGTGGTTTATCGATTTTAATAATTTTTTTTAAATGTCAAGTACTTAAAGGTCTACCTTGGGACAGATTTTGAAATGTTTATTGAAGTGTCAGGGCATACTACGATATTTTTTCTTAGTCGAAAATCGGGATTTTTTATTAGCGAATTTTTTATTGAAAAAAATCACTACGCCACTGGATTTAGAGTGCCTTTAAATAGGTGTTACCAAAATTTCATGAAAACATATTCATTATTAACTAAGTTTTGACAACTCAAAAATTCGAAAACTCACACAGCTAACAGTCACAATACCGGGTGACAAGTCATAATTTCTAGACTATTAGGAGAATTGAATGGTATGTGGAGAGGAATGTTTTCACATATTTTTCACTTTCCGGTCACTTCCGGTTTCAGCGGAAATGGCTCCGGTTCTGAATTTTTAAATGGAACACCCTGTATATTGTAACATTTTTGGATTTCTGAGACAATTCTGGNATTCCTCGACATTCAGCAATAATGCTGCGACGTTAATCATCTAAAATTATTTAATAACTTTCATAACTTCTTCAAGTGACCGTACAAAAAATCTAACGGACCTAATTCGGGAAATCTTGCAAGGCACTTCACTGTTCCTCCTTGACTAACCCTTCTATATGAAATATATCATTTGGATATGGCCAGAAAGTACAATATTGTTGAATTATCAAATCATTTTTATTGTTACGTTCGTTTTGTGCGGAAAAAAATTCATACAAAGTGTTGAGAAAAGAAATCGACGTCTTTTTGTATGGTTTGTCCTTTGACTGTTTATTACGTTAAAAACTCATGATCTCACCCGGCTGAGGAAATGGAAGTGAAAACGTCAGGAATATACTTGAGCGATTGATTTCCCAAAATATGAATCGACAGGCCCAAACAGTTTCTTTTTCTATGATAAATCGATCTTACTTCGTTTTTCTTGGCTAGCCTCATACTTGGAGAACGAATTGGAAAACATTTTCCACTTGTGGTTTCAGGCTCAATGTTACAAAATGTATACTCATAAACTTCCAACAAGTGTCATTATCAAACCTCATTGGGTACGTTTTGAGTAGCCTGTAAGTTCGTGTTTCCCAGCAACTGAAGTAGGCCAAGTGCTCTCTAGATTTATGCTATGGATGGGAGATTACTGCGACTTTCGATAAAAGCACGGAAAGATTTTTTATTAGTTCCATTTCGTGCGTGTATAAAAGAATGCAAACATGCTTATGTATTCAGGTTGGAAAATATGAGAAATGGGTATTCAAAAGAGCAAACAATCGTACTGATGTACTGAAAAATTCAAAACGAAATCAAATGGTTATCTGAACACTTTATGGGTTATTTTTCAGTGGTAGTTTTTCAGTTAATTATTCTTACAATCATAGCAATTGATCACCCTATGAAAAAGTTATCTCAACTGAATATTTCCACCATGGGTAATTATGAAAAACTTCGAAATTTAAGGTAGTTGATTTCCGAGTCGAAAACTCTAAAATACAATGAAAACACAAATAATCACACCGAATTCTCGTCAAACATATATTTACAAAATAATAGAGGCCAA